AGTGAGAAAAGGTGCCGTGAAGGTCAGATTAAATCGACCTGTTGTGCCATTGAGTATATCGAACTCTCCTGTGCTACGATTGGCCCCATGGATGTGATTTTCAAATATTATTATGCGTCCAAGCTTTTAAGGTATTTCGTCTGAAATAAGTACATGTATATTGCATTTTTGTAGAAAAATTATTCGCAGCCATTTTGAAATTGCCACCAACTATACTGTAAAGCTTCTAGGACAGATTCACTATAGAACCGGGTCACTGTTGCCGCCAGGGAGTGAAGAGGAACAAATTCTTCAAATTTATTTCGTTTTGCGAATAACCGTGCCATGAAATGCTGCACAGTTGGAGAACTTAGCTTATTTAAAGCGGCAAATGACCACCAAACCATAATCTTGGCAGATAAATGTGCCAATGAAAATCGTAAACGTGAATTGTTGGTGAAAATGTTGACCAAAAAGTTTCATAAAAAAAAATAAAAATTTTAGTCGTGACGAAGTTCGCTAGTTAAGTTATAAATATAAATATATTTCAGTAATTTGCAAGAAAAAATGCGTATTAAAATAAAATACCGAAATAACTAGATTAAATTAAATATACTTTAAAGTAAATTAAAGTAAAAAGTCATAGTGAGTTTCAGTTAGCAACATATTGTTAAAAATACTGAGAATGAACTACTAAATTCACATAAAATTATTTTATCTCCCTGATACAAAATGAACTTTTGATTTATATAAATTTAAATTTTGGTTGCGATAGGGCATATGATATTTTCATAGTTAACACTGAATTATTAAAAACCAAGAGTGCAAAGGTATATATCATAATATGTACATATGTATACTAGGGTGCCCATCGAAAATTTTTTTTTTGGAAATTTCAGGACCCTACCCCCTTATTTTACTCGTTTTTATGGCAAATATTATTGCTTATTTTTTATAGATTTTTTAAGGGTCATTTAGATTTAGGTCAGAAAATACGATTTTCTAGATTTATGAGTTTTTGAATGACTATTTTTGATTCGATTTCAAAGATCGAATATGATCTGAGAAGAGGATATATAGGCCTTTAAAATATATATATATATAAAATATAAATTTTTAAATTTTGACCATCGATAATTTCCAAAATAACAAAATATGTACCACTACCTATAATCACTTCTATTTTTAAGTAAACTAATAGCTAATTTATTGCAATCGCATAAAAATTGGCCAAGTTAGGCGACTTTACTTAAATACGGCCTTGAATTTATATTGTTCATGTACCGGACTTAAAGATTTTTGAGCAGTGTGACTAAGGAATTCATCAATATTTATTCAACATTGATATATACAATCGCTCTTTAGCAAAGAAGTGGTTTTTCAAGAAATTTTAGGAAAATGAGGGAGGCACCGCCCACTTATATCATATATGTATGTGTATCCCAAAAACTAAATACTTCACCGATCTCGACCAAATTTGGTATACACATTGCGCTTAGCCTCCTTAAGTACCATCTTGAATATTTTTGAAATCGGACAAAACCTACTCCTTCTAAAATATAGCTACCTTTGAGTTTTTTGAAATTACCGTTACGTTGGTGGAGCCCGTGGCTTTTGGTTGAGATCGGTCAAGTAGCTTTTGAGATACACATATATGATATAAGTGGGCGGTGCCACTCCCATTTTCCTAAAATTTCCTGAAAACTCACTTCTTTGCTAAAGAGCGATTGTATATATCAATTTTGAATAAATATTGATGAATTCCTTAGTCACACTGCTCAAAAAATCTGAAAGTCCGGTACATAAACAATATAAATTCAAGGCCGTATTTAAGAAAAGTTCCCTAACTTCGACAATTTTTATGCGATTGCAATAAATGAGCTATCAGTTTATTTAAAAATTAATTTAATTTTAGATAGTAATACATATTTTGAAATTGTCGAAATTATCGATAGTCAAAATTTAAAAAATTAAGAGAAATATGCTTTTTATATATCAATTTTGAATAAATATTGATGAATTCCTTAGTCACACTGCTCAAAAAATCTGAAAGTCCGGTACATAAACAATATAAATTCAAGGCCGTATTTAAGAAAAGTTCCCTAACTTCGACAATTTTTATGCGATTGCAATAAATGAGCTATCAGTTTATTTAAAAATTAATTTAATTTTAGATAGTAATACATATTTTGAAATTGTCGAAATTATCGATAGTAAAAATTTAAAAAATTAAGAGAAATATGCTTTTTTTTATTTTTCCCGATAAAAAATCCCAACAATCCAAGTCCAACAATAGATTTATATATCATTTAAAAGGCGTATATATCCTCTTCTCAGATCATATTCGATCTTTGAAATCTACAAAATCGTATTTTCTGACCTAAATCGACAGGTCGCGACCTCTAAATGACCTTTAAAAAATCTATTAAAATAGGCAATAATATTTCTCATAAAAGTGATAAAATTAAGGGGGTAGGGTCTTGAAATTTCCAAAAAAAACATTTTCGATGGGCACCGTTATATATACTAGGGCGGAGTAATTTAATTTCGAAAAAGTGTACGGTATATTCGAATTCTTCGATTCTAAGCAAAAAAAAAGAAGAAAAATCAGTGTATTATAATTTTTTCGAAATTAATTACACAGGTTTACAAAAAAAAAGCTTACGCATATTAAACCAAACCTATATATCCCTATGTTATTCGACACGCTGAATGCGAATCCGAAGTCCGTTAGTCTCCACCACGTCAGGTTCGTGGTCAGTTGAAGGTCAAGTAGGACATAAAATGTATTCAACAAAAATTCAAAAAAAAAATTGTTTTTGTTGTCACTGACACCGAGTATGGAGGTCCCTTGATTCCTCAAGGTCATCTGGAGGTCATGCCCAGGTCATGCCAAGGTCAAATTCCGATGAATTTTCAGGTTTATTCAATGAATTTTTCCCTACTTGACCTTCAAATGACCACGAACCTCACGTGATGGAGGCTAACGGACCTCGGATTCGCATTCAGCATCTCGAATAACATAAGGATATATAGGTTTGTTTTAATATGCATACACTTTTTTTTGTAAACCTGTGTTATTAATTAATTAATTTTCTATTTGCAAAAATGTGTGTGTCTCTTCATACAATATAATGCTGTTTCGTTTGAAAATTGCGAGGCCAAACGTCATTTTTGGTATATAGTTCAATTGCCATTTTTGCTCAGAATTAATTGTAGAATTTCTATTTGCTATACATTTTCTTCGAAAATTTGCTCCAAACAAATTACTCAGCCCTAACGTACATATCAAAAACGTTTTTACTTTTTCTTTTAAATGAAATACTATATACATAAATATACACCCCAAATGCGAATGTCGACTGGCAGTAGATAAACGACTATTGAGCGATTGTCGATTATCGATGCTATTGAGAGTGTCGCTTAGTCGCTCAATTAGCGACTGTGAATACTTTTTAATCGCTCATCCTTCTATTGCTGTTTTTTAGTCGTTGGAGTTTGCGTTTATAAAATTTACATAATAAAGTGTTACTATAATGGATAAAAAGTAAGTCAATTAAACTGGAAGTTGTAAAAAATTGTGCATTATACCTATATACGTATGTGTCTGAATTACAGATCAAAAATTGTAAGCAACAAAAGGTAACTTGCGCGGTTGGTCAAGCTGATGCAGGAGAATGAGGACATAATCAAAGGAATTTTCGGAAAGAGTAGGGGCGGTAGCTCCGCTTCTGTTGTGAAAGATATGCAATATATCTTGTGCATATAACTCCGGCTACGCCATCCACAGTGTTTTTGCGCAGAACCAACATCAAAAGTTTATACAAAAAAACTGCATAATTTATTAATTGACTAGTGCTCGGAAATTTGAAATCTTTATTTTAAATTAAAGTTGAATTCTTTCAATACACTTGTTATGTTGTTATGTTAAAGTTTTTAAACTCGGGTCACGCGTTTGAACACAAAAACCCAACATCATTGTACAAAAAACTTAACCGTACCGTATTTCTTAAACTTCCATAAAGTTTATTAATGAGGAAAACAGCTTTTCCTGCAAATCTTGTAAAGCCTAAAAACCGTGAAGCATGGGGAACGCAACTTCTATTCATAAAACTCACATATGTACATACACCTTCCAAGTCCAAGGGATCCGACGAATCTCGCAATTCCCTCCTTGCTTTAGCCAACTCTACTAATCTATTAGCTTCCGCATCATCTTCCTCATCACTAAACCATATTTCAACTGTGTCCATTTTTTAAATTTTATAATAAAAGTAATTATTTTAAAAATGATGTAAATAAAACACTCAAAAAACAAATGTAAACAAACAAACAGCTGTTTACAATTCTGTCAACCATTCACAATAGTACAAATTTTTATCGATCAAGTTACACAATAGCAAAATAAAAGGTGATCGACTCGATCGACAAATTTCTATTCTACTGCCAGTCGCCACTCGCAATAGGGGCCATATTTGAAGTGTACTATATTTTTTTCAAATTTTTTTGAAAAAGTTGGCAAACCTAGTACCTGCTGAGCGCCTCTTTTTAGAGGCTGGCGCTACAGCCACCGAGAAACACAACCGCTTAACAACAAAACGCATATCAAAACTTTTGTTTTTGCAAACTTGGTTAAACAATAAATAATTATCGCCGCTAAAAATCCTCGTATTATTTTGTTTAAGGGTAATTAAAAAGAAAATTAGAAATTTTTTATGGAATACGCACTGTAAAAAAATGCCTTTAAAAATTCGACTAATCGATTATTTCTCAATAATTGCAACTAATTTTTTTTGCTTGTGATTAATCATATGATTATTATAATTTTTTCTGCCATCCCTAATGACGACTAGACTTCTGCGCACTTGAGCGCTCAGCACGTTTTATATTATCTTAAATTACTCATAGCCTGGACCGAAAGTTTATAGGCAACCTATATTCAATAGTTTTCTTTTCATATGTGGTTTCGTAAGACATATGCCAAATTCGATAATTCGATAAATTTGTTAGATTTCAATTACCTTTCGGCTAAAATCGGTTGGCTTTGATTTTGTGCACGGTAAACGCTTAGGTTTTGATAAAAGCCTTGTTCGTTGTTGTTTAGGCTGCTGATTCCGCCAACCACATTGCTGTTGGTATTGGGATTGGTGACAAGGCTGTGAGTGCTGCGGGATTTCGAAGCGTTCATGGCTAAAAGAGAAATATATTTCCGAATGTAGTTTAAAGTGTATACTATTATTAACTACTTTAAGTGATTAAGAAAATAACTAAAAAGAGTATTAATTATCTATAAAACTATACAAAATTATATACATAAGTTAATTTTGACTTACAAATAGTGCCACTTCCAGTGTGATGATGTAGTGCAGGTACCGATTTACTATTTGATAAATGGGTGTTAGGTATGAGGGGACCAAAATTTTTTGAATCTGCTGTGCCCATTCTTGTTAGGTCACGTTCAGACATCCGGCGATTACCTGTGTTGGCATGAAGTTAACGAGTATGATGACGGCGATCATTTTAAATTATATTCCAGACAATCACAAAATGATTTATTGAAAACAAACGGCATATTGCAGGGAGAATCGGAACACATTAATTGAACAACCATTTAAAGTTACGTTTTTGATGTGCATGGGTTGGTGTATTATGTGATTATCATTATGGATGTGTTAATATGAAAGGGAAACGAAAGACGTATTAGCATTTGGAAATTCAAAACATCATTTAACAAAAGCTTTGTATGTACAATTGCAATCTACAAAAAATAAATTTAAGTGGCTTTAAAAAGATGGGCTATACTATACATACGAGTATACGATTAATGAAAAAACAAAGGTTTATGAGAAAACAGTAGTTATCGGTTATATTTTATGCAAATTCTTAAATAATAAAGTTTTTTTGAAAACTGTGGTAATTTATTTACGCGTGTGTTAACAAATAATTTTTATAAGAACGTATGTATGCATAAATATTACTTATGTGCTAAAATATTACTTATGATTACAGGCCGGAGGATATGTGGGGACCCAAAAGCGAAGTCCTGTAGACTAATGGCCTCATTCATAAAAAAATAAAGTAGGTTTGAAGAGCTTAATAAAGTGAAATTTCCATGCAAATTTTCGATTTATAAAGCAGTTAAAGTCTTCTTTGATTTGTATGAGCTTGGCTGTAAATGTAATGCGATTTCTTCAATTATCGCAATATTTTTCTATCACAACTGAATTGGTTTGATAATTACAAATATATATCGTCCCCTGAAATGCAAAAAGACGTAACAAACGTCATCGTTGAAATGCAAAAAGTCATAACTAATAAAAAATTCAAAATTCACTTTTTAACTTATATGATGGATTTCATCGAATTACAACTCCCCACATCATTTTATGAAAAAAAATTAAAATATTAGCCATGACTTTTTCCATTTCATTTACGATGTTGTTCCGGCTTTTTGTATTTCAGGTGACGATATGTACATAATATGTACATATGATTATTTTGTCGAATCTTAAACATGCTGACGTTTAATAATTCGTCGAAATTGCGTTCGCGAAGTGAAAGTCTGTCTTAGCTGGCAAGAATCAGACGAAGAGTCAATATTTTTAAAATTTTGAATAAGACCTTTCGCTAGTGCAATTCGTTACCATCATCGATAGGCACAAGTGGAGAACGATTTCTGCAGTGTTGTTTTCTTTGATAACACGATATATGTGCATATGTGTATTTCCGCAGATTCCTTTTAGATTTTTTCATGACAACGTGGATTCTACATCCCGTGGATATTCCTTTGCGAGTTTTTGTGCGTTAAGATCGATTTCGCGACATTGCATACCGAGTAGGCTTGCGTAGTTCTTGAACTAAATGAACTAAAGAACTAGTTCATCTCAATGAACTAGTTCTCTAGTTCGGTCTTCTAATTGAACTAAATTTGGCAATACTACAATTTCTTATTTTGGATTACGATCCAAATCAGGGATTGGCAAAGGGTGCTGTTTTTGTGACTTTAAGCCTACTCACGTTAAAAACGGAGGATGAACGAACACCACCGCAAAGCGTGCTGTCTTGCAAATACAGCCACCACAAGTGAACGATGCTAATAAAATCTCATACTGATATTGACTTCGGCAAATCTGTACTCCGAATGATCGTGCACGAAACCAGCAACCGCCGTATTTGATCGCCTGCCAAAAGCACGATACTGCTTTGGACGGTTGCCGAAAGCATGACAGGCTTATGTGAAAGACTGGCGAAGGCAAGATGCCGCAGTTAGCTAACTTGATTTGTTGCAGAAGTCAAACCGCCGCCTTTGGTTTGTTGCTGAAGGCGCGTTTGACGTGTTGCCGAAGTGATGATACTGTAGTTCAAAAACATTCAAAGACACTTGCTTGTTTGAAATGAAGCATTGATATGTACATACATACATACTTACGTACGTATGCATATTCACAACTAGCCAGCAGTGAGCAATGCAATTGAATGGTAGACGCGCTATAAATACATACATACATGCATACGAGACGATAAATTACCCTTTACCACATTCGTCGTCATTTCAGCAACAAGTCAGATGATTTTCAGCAACAAGTCAAATGGCTTTCAGCAACAAGTCAGATGATTTTCAGCAACAAGTCAAACGACTTCTGCAACAAATGATGACTCTCATATTTTCGGAGCCGTTCAACTGCCACGTTTTCTGGTTTCGTGCACGATCATTCAGAGTACAGATTTGCCGAAGTCAATATCAGTATGAGCAGTTATAAGCATCGTTCACTTGTGGTGGCTGTATTTGCAAGACAGCACGCAATGCGCTCGTGTTCAGTCATCCTCTAATTTCGTTTAGGTATCGATACTACTAAGCCAACGCCGCTGCTCAGTCATACAAAGCAGCGGTATTGAATGAGTATGAACAGTTGACGATCAACCAATACCAATCCCTGATCCAAATCTTCTTAGCACGAACGTACGACGTGTATTCCCACTTTAACCGAATTAAAAAAATAGGAGAAGGTTATCAATTCGCCGGAATATTTTAATTTTTTTTTCTATCGGAAAGGTAGTGTCTCCGAGATGGTTCCATACTAATTTCGTTTAGATACGATCATTGGATCATGAAGAAATTAACGGTACGTCTAAATTTTTATATGAGAATTGAAGTAGGTTGTGTTTTTTGCTTAAAAATTACTTGTTACAAATATGTTTTAAAACGCTTTTCCATTGTTGCTACTTTAGTTCCTTGCAAACGAGTTTTTTTCGGGACAGAGAATATACTAAACTACCGTAGAATGCTTTTAAAATCAAACCTACTTTCTTATTTAATGTTTTTGCACAGCAATATATATGCATTTTTTAATTGTTTATTTATTTTTTATTTATACGAAAACTCTGTAAATGAATGAAACTATGCTAAAATTAAATAAGCTACGTATGTATGTAACAAAATTTTTTTTTGTGTAATAACAGTAATGCTAAGAAGATCACCATTACTGCAAATGTATGCCGTCGATTGAAAAAGACAGCATACTTTGTATGTGATTTATTTATGTTTGTAAAAGTATTCTGTGAATTCACATTACCAAATTTTTTTGTTTTGTATGTAATAATATGATAGTTCACTAAGGGGAGCTACAACTGAATGGTTCACTCAAAAGAACGAAAGTGCCAAACTCTAATACTGAGTAAATCAGCCATTCACACACTTGAAGGACGAAATTCTGTCACTCAGTGCTGTTATCGATCTATCTATGTATGGCTGACTTCCAAAACGTCAATTGCATTGCATAAATACAAAGCATAATGTTCGATAACGCCGAACCACAAATGTTTGACAATGTATACTTTTCCAAAACGCATCCGAAAAGTTATCGAAACGCATTGTTAGAGTAATCAGCGCATCAGAAACAAAGTTGATGCTTCGTTTGTTTTTGGTTGCGATTGGCATTGTTAAAATGGAAATTGCGAAATGGTATTAATTGTTATATTGAATATTCAAAATATGCAATGTATGTGGTTGCAATGTTTCGCAACTTTGCATATACAAGCAGTTTAAATACCGCAGTAGAACAGTATCCAAACATTTTATTAGTATGTCTTGGAAGTCAGCATATCTATCGCCGCAATAAAGATACCGCACGAATTTTTCCTTGGCTTAAAGTTGTATCGTCGATATTTTTGCGTCTATATGTTGCAAGCGTACATCAAATTCATAGACGCGATTTTTTTTTTTGATTTTGACAACTTTTAGCTGTTTCTTCGTATGTCAAAAAAAAAAATTCTATTGGACTCTATATAAGATTTCTAAACAATCAATAACAATCCTCAGGGTTATAGTTAATCTTTGCAAAGGTTTGCTACTCGAAATGTCAGAAGGGGGTACATTTCCCTCGCAATACCCCGAGCTTGATTTTTCACAATATTTTTATGATCATCGTCATATCCATATCAAGGCTTTTGTAGTATCAGCGAGATATGACCAGCGGGTATCACACAAATGTTTGAGTTTATAGATGTTTCCAAGCCGCCAATTTAGTACTCAAAATGTGAAAATGAAGACGTGAAAAATACAAAAAGTTCCTCTAAAAAATTGACCACCTTGGGGCGTGCGCGGACCGCTGCTTTCCGATCAAACTCAGAGAATGAACACAGCATGGAATGTAAACAGCATCGCTATTCTCTTTGAGTATCAGAGCTTGCATTTTTTTTGTATTTGCTGCCCATTTTTGGCGCGGTAATCCGATATGTCAATGTCGTGTTTCTTGAAAAACAGTAGTAGAGCATCCGTCATTTCTTGTCCAGACTGGCTACAATTGGAAATAAACTGTTCGAATGGGCTGAGGGCCTCCATTTATCTTACAGTTACGGATAATTGATCCGAGGTGTGCCGGATGAGGCTTTGAGTCAACAGAATAATAACGGTATTTTCTTTTTTGCACCCGTGCAATTACTTGCAGAAGTACTTTTTGTCCGATTGAAGTTTTAAGTTCTTCGCATATACATAGTAGATATCGTGCCCGCGTCCCACGTTTCCTTGTTGCATGATGTGTTCATCGAAAAATGGGCTAGATATTTAATACCTGACAGCTATTTTATACCTCGCGTCGATAATTTACTATCTCGGTGATCGGTTGCTACATTTCTTGGTTTACACAAGCTAAGTTATGAGAACAAGTGGCATATACCAGAATTGAATCGGAATAATTCTTTCATTTGTCCGGAAGCTAGCTTAAAATCGAAATTTCCACGCGATGAGCAAGTTAAATAAAAGCTTGTAAAAAACAACGAAAATATGTAAAACTATAAATGAGCAGTTTTTTGTAAAGTTTTTCATAAGATTATTTTATTAACTACAGTTGAGGTCAAGGCAAAATTTTAAACAAACCACAATTTATAATGCTTTATTTATTTGATCGATATTTCGACTTCAATCTGTAGTTATCTTCAGGACTGCAAAAATAATAGTAAATTGTCACATTGTAAATTA